TAGCTTGGCACACCCTGCATGAGGACACATATCGCTGCACGTCGTTAGAGGAGTCAGGCCAGTAATATTGACGGTGCAGTAATTTCTGGGTTTTATCAACCCCGAAGTGTCCGGAGAAATTCGAATCGTGGACCTCTTGGATAAGGAGTTCACGCCGCAGCCGGTAAGCGGGAACCCAAATCCGGCCAGTTCCAGCTTTTAGGTAATAATCCCCTTTCTACGTCGTGGCCTGCTAATGATTCCCAGTCGTGAAAAACGTGTCCGTAGTGTAGCCGTGGGTGAATAGTCCGGTAACTAACGGGTTCGAGTGGGTGATGAGTACTACAGCGGATTGTACTGTCGGTCGGGTAAGGGCGTCGGCGATGTTATTCGCCCCTTTCTTGTACGTGATGCGGTAGGTGAAGTGGCTCTCCATGTAGTCCAGCCACCGAATTTGTCGCGGGTTGAGGTTGGGCTGAGCTCGCAGGTACTGCAGGGACTTGTGGTCCGTGCGAACAGTGACGTCGGCGCCCACCAAATAGCAGCGCCACAGTTTGAACGCGTGAATAATTGCGAGCATCTCCTTGTCGTGAATCGGATAGTTGCGTTCGGCTGCCTGCAGCTTGCGTGATTCGTAGGCTATCGGCTGCAACCCGTTCCCGAAATCTTGGAGTAGCACAGCTCCGATGGCGAAATCAGAGGCGTCGGTTACGACTTCGAACGGCTTCGATGGGTCGGCGATGCGCAGCACCGGAGGGGAAACGAGAAAATTCTTGAGTTCCTGGAAAGCCGCTTCTGCCTCCTCCCCCGACACAAAATTCATGTCCTTGTGCAGCAAGTCGGTCAGCGGGCCTGTTATCCCCGCCATATTTGGGAGAAACCGCCTAACGTAATTCACGAACCCCAGAAAACTCTGTAGTTCCGTGACATTCGTCGGGGACTTCCACTCCTGTATGGTCTTGATTTTCGCCGGGTCGATTTTAATGCCGTCGCGTGAGATGACGTGGCCCTAAAAACTCCAACTCCTGCTTAAAAAACTCGCACTTTGAGCCCTTGGTGATGAGTCGGTTCTCCTGCAACCGCTTAAACACTGCGTCAAGGTCGCGGAGATGTTGCTCCCGTGTCTTGCTTAAAATAGGATATCGTCCAAGTAGACGATGACACATCGGTCTAGAAGATCCCGAAAAACCCTGTTCATGGTTAACTGAAATGTCGAAGGCGCGTTCGTGAGGCCGAAAGGCATCACCATGAATTCGTAACTCCCGTAGCGTGTGCGAAACGCAGTCTTGTGACAATCGTCGGCGAAGACACGAATCTGGTGGTAACCGCCACGTAAGTTAATCTTCGAGAAATATCGAGCGCCGCGAAGTTGGTCGAGGAGGTCGTCGGTGCGTGGGATTGGGTAGCGAGACTTGATGGTGACCTGGTTTAGCGCGCGATAGTCCATGCACATGCGAAGCCCGCCGTCTTTTTTCGGAGTGAACAGGATCGGTGCTGCGAAGGGAGATGTGCTGGCCCGGATGAATCCTTTCTCCAACAGTACGTCAATTTGACTTCGCAGCTCCTCGAGTTCCGGCTGGGTCAACCGCCACTGTGTCTGAACAGTCGACTGCGCACCAGGTTCCAGCTGGATTTTGTGGTCCTCAGGTCTCTCGGGTGGCAGTCCAGGTGGCAGATCGTCGGGGAAAATGCCGGGGTACCTTCGAATCAGCTCCGCTAAATCCGGCGGTACAGCTGCACACAGCTTCTCGATGTCCTTTTCGTCGGTGTCAACTGCCAACTCGCGTAAGCAGACAGCGAACAGCTGCGCGCCCCTGTTGAAGTGGCGAGCTATAGTGATAGCTTTGACGCACGGGGTTTGGATGTAGTCAGGTGTCCATGCAGGCAATGTGATGAGCCCCTCGTGCTTGTTGATGCTGCACGATCACGTTGTCCAGTCGATGACGGGGTTGTGCCGTCGCAGCCAATCACGTCCCAGCAGCACGTCGCAGCCGTCCAGTGTCGTCGCGAGGAACTTCATGCTGAAGCCGAAATCGTCGCCAAGTTGAAGAGGCTATGGCTGGCCCCTCCATGGACGAACATTTTCAAGTTATTTTTTAACACCTTGCCAGCGACCAACACAGGGTGATCCACATGATTATCCCCGTTATTCGGCCGAGTGCGATCGATTGCATGAATCGAAACCACGACTCGGTGGGGATGGTGGGGTTCGGGCGACAGAGCACAGTCAGTAAAGGGCCCGCTAATTACTGACTCTTCCCATTTCCCTGCTCCTTCCTGTCGTTCCCCGTCAGCGGCGTTTTCTCGTGGCAGTCTTTCATGTAGTGACCCGTCTTCCCACACCGGTAACACGGTCCCTTAGGAGGGCGGTCGGGTGTATGGACGGCGTTGATCGTGGCCCGATGGGTCTGGCCACGAAAGCGGTTTCCATCCCCGGAAGCTGCTCTCGCGTACTGCATCAGCGCATCTGTTGACTCCGCCAGCCGTACTGCTTCAAGAAATGATGTCGGGCGGCCCCTGCGAACCTCGTATTGAATTTCGTACTTGAGGCCGCTGATATACTTATCCAACCGCTCTGCTTCCGACATGTCATCAACTTGGTCGGCGAGGCCCATATATGACGTCGTGTAGTCTTGGACAGAAGCCATCTGCGACCATGCACGCAGCTTCATGCGAGCTTGCTCCGAGGCGGATACGTGCTCGAAGCGATCTTGTAAGGCTGCGCCCCACTCTTTCCACGTGCGTATCGTGGTCACTCCGAAGATTGATTCTGCCACTTGATTAGTCACTGTTGAGGTCCAGTCTGCCGCATGCGTCACACCTGTCGGCGTCTCCGTTTCCAAGGTCCGGCGCCACCATTCAAGCGCTGCATCTCAAAGAAGCGAAACCGCGGAATTAATACGCGTGGCGTCGTCATTAACTCCTGCTGCAGTGAAGAAGACTTCGACCCCGAACAGCCACCCCTTTACTGTAACCGTCTTGTCCGTAGGATTAAACGGGGGCGGGTTGACGGGTTTTATCTTGATCGTCGTTACTGCAACTAGTGTTGTGTCAGAACATATATATAGCTTATGCTGTTGTGTAGGCTATAGTGGGGTATCCCATAGGGGGTACAACCCAATTAAGGTTTCCTATATGTACTCACTTCATTCATAGTTCATTCATTCTTGTTCAAATCTTCTCATGTTATCAGAGCGAAGGTCTCGGGTTCGAATCCCAGTGTGTGCACTTCGGGCATCCCAGTGCAGGGGGGTGTCAGAGGTCCACTGGTGATCCCCGATTGATCCTAGGGAAGGGTTACAGGCATGTTGGCCTGGGGGGTTATGGGCGCACTGACCCGCTACTTAACAAGCCCTTTTATCCCAATGGTCTAGTGGTTGGGATTCTGACATAGTTCATTCATTCTTGTTCAAATCTTCTCATGTTGCTGCCGCTCGCTGCCTGTCTTCCTCTTCGAAGTCACGTGTGAGCGCGTCCAAGGGATTGCTCACCGCTTGACTGTTGCCCTCGCCTTCTTCAACGGGCGACACCTGACGCGCTTCACCTCGCGTCTGGCGTAGCTCGGCGTTTTCTTCACGCAGTGTTGTCACTTCCGCCATTAACGACTTCATGCCCTCCTGCATCTGTGCCACTTGCGCCATCAACATGTTAACCGCCTCCTGATCCATGTGCCTAGCGCTACGTCTGGTGGGCAATCGGGTCTCCGTGGCCTTCAGGCAAGTGAAAACACGAACTATCGGAGTCGGGCAGGATTGAATTAACAATCCCTGCGGCCAACCGTCGTGTAGTCACTAAACCAGCCACACCCGTGCCACCAAACTACCCTCAGAAAAGCGGGGTGAACTAGGAAAGTAGCTCTGATACCAGGTGTTATGAGTTGTAAATGAGAGTGCGCAGGTAAACGAATAACGAGACTGTGATTGAATGAACTGAGAATACAATGAAGGCACGGACTAATGTAGGAACTAGCCTAGCTAGGAGGGAACCTCGGACGAGCGAGGTTGGGTGCAGGTTTGGCGATTGGGAAATGCCGAAGGCGACGCGAGGAGCCTCGGCAACGTTGAAATCGGCCGAACGTGCAAAGTCCGAAAATCGGGCTGTACGCGAAGAAGTCAACCCCGATAAGGAATTCGAGAAAATTCCTTACAGTTTTGGCCTTGTCCTCTACGCTATTCTCTCAACATTTAGGAAAATAGCTTTGGTTTTAGTTGTGATCAAAGCTATAAGAACAGAAGAAAACCAACCACACGCACACGCACTGTGCGATCACAATCAACCTTTCCAGACGATACACCAGCAGCAACTTTCGCCTGTGGCCGAAACTACCCATACGCGAGCAGCTACTAGCGAATGTGTTTACCCCGACCAAGTCGCTGACGACATGAACCCGCGTCGACAGCCCAATTCCCCTTATTTGCGATGAATTCTGTCCGGAGTTTGCGGCCGCAGATTGCGCTGATTGCTGTGCTGCTAATTTCCCCGGTACTCAGAGCCCCGCCACTGCTGTTCGAAGGATGGGGAGTTGGAGGGGACGTGCGCGGATGGGGGAGCAGCGGAGGGATGCGGGGGGGATTACAGGGCGGGTGGGGCGTGGGGACGGCTGCGGCGGGGGCAACAATGGCGGCGGAGTGCTTGGAGGTGGGCCGGCGACTGCAGCAGGCCATGTGGGACATCGAGCAGCGGTGAGTGGGGAGGGGGGAGAGATGGGCGAGCAGCGGTGAGTGGGGAGGGGGGAGAGATGGGCGAGCAGCGGTGAGTGGGGGGGGGAGAGATGGGCGAGCAGCGGTGAGCATCGAGCAGGGAGCGCAGCGAGCAGCGGTGATCGGTGAGGGGGCCGGGATGGGCGAGCAGCGGTGAGCAGCGAGCAGCGGTGAGCGGTGAGGGGGACGAGATGGCGCGCTGAGTGCAGCGAGCAGCGGTGGGAGGAGTGAGATGGGAGAGCATCATGCAGCAGTGACGGGGAGAGATGGCAGCAGCGTTGAGCGCAGTGAGGTGCGGTGAAGGGGGGAGACGGAGAGGGCATGGGGATATCGGAAATGTGGAAGACTAGGAGGTGGACGCGGAGGGCTGCAGCGCGCAATTCTGGAGTTGAGAAGAGCGACCAGCACACTGTGGCGCGGTCGGGGAAGGGCTTTCCTTCCCACTCGCAGACGTCTCCCTCCTTTCCCCCCCCTTCCAACCCTCTCTCATCCCCTTGGGTTTCAACACTGTGTCTCACTTTCTCCCCTGCCGCTCTTCTTCTCACCCACGACTTGCGCCTCCCTCCCGCCTCCTTGCGCTTCTCACTCTCGCGCCTCCTCTCGCTTCTGAAGCGGATCGGACCGTGTGCGTGGACCGCCTTTCCCTGCACCGTGTGCGTGGACCGCCTTTCCCTGCACCTCTTTCTGCTCTTGCTGCTGCCAGGGAGGCTGCTCACGTCCTACGTCCCCCTCCTCTCCTCCTCCGCCCCACCTCTCCCCTGTCACCCTACCCCAACCCCTTCCAGCTACGGCGTGGACGTGGTGCAGAGGAGCTTCGCGTTCGACCCGCCGCTGCACCGCTTCCTGGTGCTGCTGGCGAAGCTGCTGGCGGGGCGGCCGCTCACGGTGGTGGCGGTGGGCGGCTCCATCTCCGCCGCGGGGCACCTGCCGGGCGGCGTCATGCACGGCACCGGCACATATGGCCAGGCGCTCGTTGATTGGCTGCAGCAGGTGCGCTTGTGGACTGGCTGCAGCAGGTGCGTGGTTCTTGTGGGGAGGGCGGAAGAGAGAGGGGATGGGGGAGGATGGGAGAGGATTTGCAGAGGGTCCGGGGAGTGGACGACGGTGTTGGTCGAGGAATGATGGTGACTAATGATTTGACTCTGATAGGTGATAGAAATAGATCAATAAGTAGTTGCGCAAAGCAACCGATCATCCACCATCGTTATCACTGTGAAGCTCAGTCTACAGCAAGGGCTTGGCTGAGGCCAACACGGGCTGAGCCGGCGTTTTGAGAATGTCAGCCTGGACTAGCGGCCCTTTGGGCCAGGACTAGTCCTGCCAAAGGCAATGGGCTACTTATGGGTGCCCAATCTTGGGACTCCAAAACGAGTAAGCGTATTGTGTGATTGCATTGGCATTCTTATGCGTTACACTGAGCTTTAAGTGTGTTTTAGAGTGAACACTCGCACCGAGCAGGCTATGCTCCGTCAGTGGGTGCATGACACCGACACGGCACCGTGCAACCTCCTGGCCCTCGCACTGCTTGCACCCTCCTGTCCTGCTGCCTGCTGCTGGTAGGTAGATGGTGCATGCATACTTGGTACTGTAGGTTGCACGATGTGGGGGGGTTTGCTGCAGAAGTGGCTCGCGGGCATCGAGCTCCTCCCACTCTCCTCCTGCTGCCACTGCACCCTTCATCTTCCAAAAGAGAGCACTAGCACAAATGGATCCGGTTGCTTCAAGACAGTGGGAGAAGGCAGACTGGTATCCGTCGTTTCTTCTTCCTTCCTCGCTCTCCTCTCTGCAAGGGTCCACCCACCTCGTTCTGCCGCCACTCCCCTCCCCTTCCTTGCCAGCAAGGGCACTCAGACTTCCCTCATCCTGCTTCTGGCACCCCTCCTCTCCTAATCCCCTCGTTTCCCCATCCCTCCTCTCCCCATCCCCTCCCCAGGTGTTCCCCACACCGCCCTCAACCCCTCCGCACCGTCTCATCCGGGCCTTCCTGCCCGGAGCCGGCTCGTACGTGCTGCACTTCTGCACGGGGGAGCTGGTGGGGGCGCTGTGGGCGGACGGGGACGAGCAGCGGCGTGCAGCGGGGGAGGCGGACGTGGTGCTGCTGGAGTGCGCCGCCAATGACTGGTCCGTGCTGCAACCCGGCATGGCGCTGCCTCCAGGTATGGCGCATGGCGGTGCAGGGCAGGTGCTGTGGAAGGCACCGTGGTAGTGCTGTGGCATGGGGGAGTGGTGTGGTGGGATGGCGGTGATATCGGGGTGCAATGGCATTGTGGAATGGCATGGTTGCACGGCATGGTGGGATGGCATGAGCATGGGCTGCATGGGTTGGGTGGCGTTGCATGCGCGCCCACACACTTTCCTACGATGCCATTCCATTCCATTCCTTCCCTTCACCCCCTCACTCCATGTATTTGCCATGAGTAAGTTGGTGATGGTTACTGCAGTGAGGGTCTGGAAGCGCCTTCACCTGAATGCACACCTTGAAGTTGGCTGTCCCACTCGTTGCTTCCGTGTGTCCTGTCTGTACTTCCTTTCCGCCCTTCACCTCGCACTTCCACCCCCTTGCACCAGCTCACTCCTGCCAATCCCTCCTCTCCATCTCCCCCCTGTCTCACCACACCCCACCAGAGGGCACGCAGTACGCAGCAGCGGAGGGTCTACTGCGCCAGTTCCTACTGCTGCCATCGCACCCCCTGGTGCTCTTCCTCAACTTCGGGGTCTTCCATCCACGCGACCCGCTGCTCTCCGCCTTCCACCACTCCGCCGAGGCCCTGCTCAACCACCTCTCAGCCTACTACAGCGTCCCCGCTGTCAGCCCCTGGCGAGCCTACTTCCCCCTCGTCGCCACCGCAGCGTCCCCAACCTGCCCAGCTTCGGCCGAACCTCCCTCCGAGCCTGCCGCCAAGCCTCGCGTGCTGTCCCCGCCGTCATCCGAGCCCGCGGAGAACCTGACGTGGGCGCACATGTTTGTGGACCGCGTGCATCCCTCGGCAGCCGGGCACGGCATGGCGGGCAGCCTGGCAGCGCACCGCATCTTCTCCCTCGCCCTGCACTACCTGCGCCGCGAGGGCCTCGCTGTCTCCCGCCACCACCTGCGCCTCGACTGGGTGGACGGCAAGGCGGCGCCCTCTACTCAGTCCGCCCTGCTCTGCCCGCCCACCTCCCTCTGCCGCAAGTGCTTCGGTGACCTGGGCTTCTCGGCCCTCGGCCCGCCACTCTCGGCGCCCTGCATGCTGCCGCCGTTGCAGAGCGCGGCAGACCCGCACCCGCGCTGTGTGCTGGGCAACACTTGGAACGTCACGGCCGTGGGCGCGATGGAGTTTCACGAGGGGTACACGGCTGTTAGAGAGGCTGCCTCTAAAGGGGATGCGGCGAGTGTGAAGAGGATCGCGGAGGCGAACGCATCATGGGTGCAGGAGGCGTGTGGGCCGCTGGTGCCGCAGATCCTGTGCTGGAAGGCCCAGATTGCCCGCGCTCCTCTGCGTGTGGCTGTGGATGTGCGGGGGGCTGCATGGGGCATAGGCGTGGTGTACAAGATGCTGGACTGGCAGAAGCAGGAGCACAAGATGGACGGTGCAGATGTAAAGGTGAATGGCCGGGATGTGGGGTTCTTGCCGGTGCCTGTGGTGGGGAATACTCTCACTCACTGGCGGCTCAACAGCAGCCTTATTCGTTTAGAGGATGGGGAAGTGCGGGAGGGGCATGTTTCATTGACTATTGTGCCGCGTACAAAATGGTTTCACATGGTGGCGCTGGTGGTTGAATAATTACCGGTTTCACGGTAGTGCCGTAGTTTCACAACTGGTGTTCTACTACTGGTTACCCCTCCCTGGGTCCCAACTACCTACCCTTATCATCGGAATTTCTAGAAAATTCCGCACCGCAATAAGGTTACGTACGGTACAACTGTATGCGCCAACAGGTCGCAGTTCAGGTAGGCATGGAAGCAAACAGGATTAAGAACGTACCGTAGGTACCTTATGCGGTTTAGCTCCCAACCTGACTGCTGTAGGACTCCAAAACGCTGTGCACACCCTTCACCATTTTCACATACAGTACTGATAGGTAATAGTAGGTACTACTAGGTACTCACATTACTCACAAAGAACGAATGAACGAAAGAAGACGAGCATGCTACCGCCCATAATATCATGCAGATGGTGTTGCAGAAAGAATAGGGGACCCAAACGATGTGCCGTCACTTAAGGCCCGCTTATGCAAGCTGCGCCTAGGCACTACCACAAACAGAGGACGTGCCTTACTCCCTGCTCTTCTCCCTTGGAGTTCCCCTCTTCCGGAAGCTTCCGGCCCGCTTGAAAGTTCAGCTGATTCAAAACGGCCGCAAATCTGGTCAGAGCTCACGGTCTTTACAGGGCGCTTGGAAGAAGGAAGGTTCCTGGAAGGCCCGGAAGACAATGAGAATGCTGCAGCAGTCACAGCAGCACCAGTAACCGTTGCAGCACGGGCAGCAGCAGAAGCAGCGGCATCTGCCGGGGCCGTTGTTCCCTGACTAGACTCAGCAGCCTCACCAGCGATCCTATCAAAAACATTTCCTGCCGGCCTTGCCATGGCAGCTGCAGCAATGGCAGCGGCAGGTGAGGCATCTGGGTCAAGGCTCCACGACACGCGCTTGCCGGGCCCTGGAGATGCTGCCGTGGTGCTGGCAGACTTCAAGATGGACCGGCGCGCACACGGGGAGGCAAATCTTGGAGAAACTGCAGTGGTGCTGGCTGATTTGAAGGTGGATGGGCGAGCAAAGGGGGAGTTGACTCCTGGAGAAGAAGCTGTGGAGGTTCTCCCAGCTGATTGCACGCTGGAACGGCGAGCAGCAGGGGATGGAGGCGCGGTGGAGGAGTGCGAGAGAGTGAGAGGAGGGGATTGAGACACAGGAGTGAGAGGAGGGGACAGCGGCAAGGGAGTCAGAGGGGATTGAGACGACGGAGGGAGAGGAGGGGATTGAGATGGAGTGAGAGAAGGGGATTGAGCTGAGGGGGAGAGATGAGGAGATTGATATGAGGGGGTGAGAGGAGGGGATCGAGACGAGGGAGTGAACGGAGGGGATCGAGGAGGTCGGTGTAACTTTAGAATCAACCCAGAAGGAGAATGACAGGGGCTGAGAGGAAAGGAAACTTTGGGGTGTGTGAAAGTTCTTGCTACAGATTCTGCTACAGCATGCCGGTTGGCAGCAACAGCAGCAGCTGTAGTCAATACTCCCGTCACAACTTGCGACTTTACAGCTTCCGCCGCTGCTGCCGCGGCTGCTGCAACCTTAGCAGCAGAAAAAGCAAGCCGGCCAGAATACTCAGAGCTGTGATGACAGTCACTATTCATAACCATCGAAGTAAAGTGTTGGCTGTGCCTGTGCCTGTGCTTGTGCTTGCTCGTTTCTCTCCTTGCAACACCGTCCTTCATTCCGCCTCCTCCCTCTTCCCCTTCTCCTTTTCCTCCTCCTCCCCCTTCTCCATTCCCTCCCAGCCTACCAGCAGAGGCCAGCCCCGGAAGCCCATAGCTCTCTGGAGGAGCAATCAGCCTCCACACGCCCGTGGCATTAATATCCGTATCAGATCTGCTTTTAAAGAGTTGATACGCCGCTCGGCTGGAGCATGCAGCCCTGGACAGTAACGGAGCTGCCTTATACGAGGCCGAATGTGAGGGGGAAGAAGACGGAGAAGAAGAGGGAGAAGAAGGAGAGGAAGAGAAGGACCACGAGGGAACCGGCAGAGCAGTGGACATGTGACACGAAATTACAGGGCTGCGGAAAAGCCTATCCTGTCGCTCCTGCTGCTGCTGCTGCTTCCCCAGCAGGTGCGAGCTGCCATGGCCTTTTTCGGGCAGCTGTGAGCTGCCATGGCCTTTTTCGGGTAGGTGCGAGCTGTCATGGTGGCGATTCTCCAGACGCTTGAGAGCAGGTCGGTGCAGAGTGGGGCAGAGGATTCGCCAAGTGCTGTGCGCATACAGCACTGCTTGCACCGCCTCCCTCGCTTGCTCCCTCTGCTCTGCTTCTTTCTCCGCCTCCTCTGCCTCCCAGGCTTGCCTTGCTGCCTTCTCCACTTGCTCCTTCTCATCTGCTTCCCTTGCAGTCTTACCCCATTCCTCCTCCTCCGCTTCCTCCACTCCTCTCTCCTCGTGTTCAATCTTTGAATCTCCAACACCGATTCTTGAGATCCTTCTCAGCGATGCTCCTCCGCTTATGCCGCCCCGCGCTCCCCTCTCCTCGCTCTTATTTCTCGGGTCTTGAAGTCCGGATTGACTTCCGCCCGCCTCTCTGTTGGCTGCTTCCGCGGGCGAGCGCGATGCGGAGGTGCCAAAGCAGAGATTGGGGGAGCGACCTGCGGGGACGAGGGAGAGTGTGGAGAGGGGGAGAAAGAGGTGGGGGAAGGGGAAGGAAGGAGGAGGAGGGGAAGGGGGAGAGGGAGGGGGAAGGGGAGGTGAAGGAGGTCTTGAATTTAGCAGTTCTAGCAAGGGTTTTCAGTTTACGTCCACGTCTTCTTCTTCCTTGTCCGATCATCATCAAGTAGACAAGATCAAACAAATGAACGAGCTTGGCTTCTTCATAATTGTTCAGCAAAAGGGAAAACGCGGAGAAAAGCGAGATGCGAGATGGAGTAATCATGGAGGGGGAGGAGCGAGCGAGGAGAACCAGAGGATGCCGTAGCGGGGAAAGGAGAATAAGTTGGCGCAAGGAGGGCAAGGAGGGAGCAAGGAGAGCATTGAACGGGCTAAGAGCTAGAAAGCGAAGCAAAGGGTGCAATGCAGGAGTGAGGATTTTGAGTAGGTAGGGGAGTAAGAGAGCAGCAGGATTGGCTAGCGAATGGAGAGGGGTGAAAGAGGATGGCTTGGAGAGGGGATGGTCGAAGGAACCAGACTGGTATAATACCTGGTCCCACTATTTCGCCAAAGGATTCTGCTTTTTTCGCCCACTCGCGAACGCGATCCAGCAAATCGCGCATGGAATGTTTCAGCTGCCCGCTCGTCACCAGCTCGTCGTCCGCTGCGATGGTTACAATCCTCCACGAAATCGGCATGCTGTTTCGCCCAGATCCCAGCAGTCGCAGGGGCATCGCCAGCAGCGGAAAAACGTCGTACACGTCTCCAGGATCGCGCGCCTGCGACCCGATCTCCAGCGCCTCCAGCGGCGCATTGTCGCACGCCGTCAACAGCGAATCTGTGACCTCATTATCCGGCGACTCGTCCTGGCGGCCGTCCGAGCCGCCAGAATTGCCATTCGCATTGCCGTGCGCGAGCACGCACGTCTGCGGCAGGATACCCAGATTCCACGGCGACGCCAGTAGGAGCGCCGACGACGACGGCGACGGCTGCACCTTGGTAAGACTGCCGTCTAGGGCCATTACGACCATCCGCTTCTCCAACAGGAAAAGCGGGTCATCGCGGCGCCGAAGCTTTCGGCTCCCGCAATCGGCGGAGGGGGATTTCTTGGGGGAACGGCAGACGAAGGAGAAGGCGGAGGTGGGGAAGGGGGAAACGCTGGGGTGGCGCAGCGGGGAGGAGGAGCCGGTGGCGGGAGAAGCGGGAGGCGGAATGAGGAGGATGTCGTGCCAGATGGAGGACACGTGGCCGGCGTTGATTAGCGGCAGAAGGTTGGTGGACGATCCGACGGTCCGAGTCCGCATCATGATGCTGTAACTAGGACTACTACTATCAGTTACAGCGAGGCGAGGTCTGCCGCAGTGAATCACCCGAGTGATGCAATGATATGCGGCTGAAATTTAGTAAGGCGCCAGGCGCAGGTGACCTCAGATACGATGATGGACATGGAGGCTTCACGCCAGGGCTTCTCAATTTCAGAGGCTTCTGAGAAGGAGAATAGTAGCGGCGTCTCGTGTTGGTACGACGAATTCATCCCCAGTCGCCAGCGGTGAAAACGCTGGGATGGGAGCAGCACTGCTCGCAGTGGTCCTTCCGCACCTGCAAGCAACAGTCTGAATACGACGACGTTGACCGACAAATCCGACATCGGAATCTTTCGCTATTCGTCTCCTGTCTGGCGCTCCCGCAAAGCAAAGCACGCGCGTCTTGGCCTGAGGAGCCATGTGATGTGATCAGCCAACGGAAACTCTTCTCTGCACTGGGCACCTAGTGTAGCGTAAGGCGGCTGTGCGACTGAGCAACTCGTGAGGCAGCAGTGTTAACGAGTTGTCGGGGTGGTCATAAAGATTATCGTGCGAGTGCATGGCATGCTCAGATCAATTATGTCATAACTAATGTCTCGGAATGCGACTTGGGCGTTGATGGTCTAAGCAGGTATGGCTGGGAGGTCGGGAAAATGGGAATATGGGCAGGCTTGGAACATGGGGTTTCCGTAGTTGTCTTGGAGCTCCGAACCAGATGACCGAACTGAAACCGAACCTACTGGTGAACGTACCTGGTGAGCTGTTTGCTGCAACAAGCCCCAAACCAAAGCTCGGCTAGGCTCGCACGATTTTCAAAACATGAATCAGCCAAAGTGGTCCCAAACAGACCCCTATTTTCCTGCCGCCTGGCCTCAGCGAGATTTGGGTAGAAAAATGCAAGATTCCCCGGCGTTAGGTTTACGTAGATGCTGCAATACTGTTACGAGTGCATTTGAATGAAGCTAGAGAGGATTTCACTAAAGGGGCAAAATGAAAGGAAAACCAATTTTCCCTACGTAGTCCGTCAACGTCGCCGCGACCATTGCGCATGCATCCCGCCGACGTCGGGGGCCCAAATCACTCCACACGTCACCCTCGTGCCTCCGTCGTCGACGAGGTTGCCGTCGCATTCGTTGTTCCCAGGTCGGGGAGAGGCGAACGCACCGTCCGCTTCAGCACGGAGAGTTGGTTGCTCACGCGCCCACTGCGCACGAGTTCTTAGGAGCAGCACCTCCAAGTCCGCTCCGCCGTACTCGCCAGGTGGGGTGTGTTGCGATCAAAAGTTGATCGTGCCTAGGATCACCTCAGGAAGGTTCGCACACGACTGAGTAGTGGTGGTGGGCCCTGACCTCAATAGCAGAGTGAATATAAAATGCTTGAGATGATTTAAAACATGCGAGTACAAGGGTATAAATAAGAGTACAAGAAGGAATACGAATCGACCTAGCTAGACATGTACTCTAAGGGGTACATTCCCTTATTACATCGAATTCCAACCGTGCGACTCCAGACAGTTACGAAACTGTCCGGGAAGAATCCTCGCCACTGCTGCTGCCTGATGCTGTCTGCCCGACGGTCCAGATCCTTTCGTAACTGTACGACCCTTCGCGTCACTTCCGTCCCATCGTCTTCATTCTCGGTAGTGTATGCTTCGATTGCAGCGGCAAGGAGTGCACACTGATTCTTCAATAATTACTATTCGTAACACCCCCCTTCACTCCTGGCCGTAGCGAGTCTTGACCCACTTGACTACTCCGCTGAGTTCGAAGCAGTGTTAGTACTGCTGACGTGACAGCTTCTTCGTGAGAAAGTCAGCTACCATATCACCCGTCGGGCAGTAGGTCAGGTTAACCTTGCCCTTGTCAACTTCGTCCTTGACGAAGAAGTACCGCAGCGCGATGTGTTTGGTGCGGTTGACGAATCCATGATTGTTAGCGATCCTGATCGCGCTCTGATTGTCGCAGTGCAGGCGAAAGTTCGCCGCGGCTGGAATTTTCGCCTCCTGCAGCAGCTCCTGAAGGTAGAGGCCTTCGCGAACGGCTGCTATTGCTGCGATGAATTCAACTTCCGCCGATGACAGGGCAACTAGTTCCTGCTTCTGTGAATTCCAGGAGATGGGACCGCTGGGCTCGAGGCGGAAAAGAAAGCATGTCCTGGACCGTCGATTATCGGGGTCAGCGGCGTGATCAGCATCCACGTAGCCGATGAGGTTGAAGGACAAGGTTGGGATGGTGGAGTAGCAGAGGCCGACATTGGGTGTGGAGACGAAGAATTGAAGTGCCCGCTGAAAATCTAGTAGATTCTCAGCCGTTGGTTTGTGGGAGTACTGAGCCAACTGGCTCGCGATGTAGGAGAGGTCGGGCCTGCAGGTAACAGATGCAAAGAGTAGGCATCCCAACTGCTGCTGATAGGTGTGAAGCCCAGCAGGGGACAGGGCTTTGTTGTCAGGCTTGTGGTTGGGTCCTGGAGTGCGGTAAGGGGTGGAAAGTGGTGCAGGCGCGATGTTGAAGCGCTTGCTAAGTTCCTCTGCGTACTTGGCTGCTAAGAGATGAATAGCTTCCGACGAGTAGGAGATGTTGAGCCCGAGGAACTGCTTCACGTCATCATTGCAGGTGATGTCGACGAGACCTGCGAGGTTTTTCTCGAACTGCTCAAGCAACTCGTTGCTTGACCCTGTGTAGAGAAGGTCGTCGACGTAGACCATGAGTAGGATGTATTCGCCTCAAAATTCGCGGCGATACATCCCAGGATCGTGAGGCAATTGCTTGAACCCGATTTCAAGCAGTATGTTGTGCAGGTACTGCTGCCAGAGGCTCGGCACCTGTTTGATCCCGTTAAGGGATTTTCGCAGCTGGCAGACGCACGAATCCCCTTCGCCGTATGTGTGCGGCTGTTCCGCGTAGATCACTGCATCTACTAACGCGTACAGGAACGCGTTCTTCACATCGATTTGTCGGAGCGGTAGGCGTCGTGCGGCAGCGAAGGCGAGGTGAATCCTGACGGAGGTATGACGGTTGACCGGTGCAAATGTCTGGTCGAAGTCAATGCCATGCCTCTGATCGTAACCGCGCACTACCCAGCGCACCTTGAATCGCTCGATCGTGCCGTCAGCTGCAGTCTTTACGCGGGAGACCCATTTCCCGTAGAGAATCCTTCTCCCTTTGACTGCCGCTCGATCGACGAGCACCCAGGTATCGCGAGTTTCAAGTGCCTTGATTTATGCGTCCATCGCCTCGCGCCATTCCTTGCTGCGTGGTCCTGCGAGTGCTTGGCGAGGGTTCTTCGGCTCGATGACACGTGGCGCTGTTGAGGTGGCGGTGTGAAGTCCGAGGAGCTGGAGTCCGGTGACGGTGCTGTCGTGGCGGTGCTGTGGAGTGACCTCCTGCACGTCGTCGTCATCGCTCTCAGGTTCAGGCGGTGCTGGTGGTGCTGCGCCTCTGCCGCTTCCGCTTCCGCTTCCGCCTGCTGCGCCTGCTCCTCCTCCAGAAGAATCGTCGTCGTCGTCGTCGTAGTCATCGTCGCGGTCGCCTCTTGTGAACTCGCCTCTGGGGTCCTGCTCCAAAATTGCTGCTGCGGCTTCGTCCTCAGGTGAGGCGTAGCTGTGACCGTCATTGGCGTAGACGCGGTTTGCGTTCGCCTGCTCGTCTTCGCGAAATTGCCGGAGGAAGAGCCGCTCGTAGAAGATGACATCGCGCGCGTTCTTGATTTTCTGGCTCAAGAGGTCCGGAATGAGCCATGCTTTGTGCTCGTGGCTGATGCCGAGGTGAATCACCCAGCGCGCGCGGCTTGCAAACTTCCCGATAGTCGATGTCGGCGGGCGGTACTGCACCATGCATCCCCACACGGGGAGCATGAATGTGTCGCCTTTGGTCCCATCCATTTCACATGCGGTGATGAGTTACCGGTGATGGCGGTGGTTGACAGCAGGTTGTGCACTCGCACGGCGTGGTGCATTGCGTAGGTCCAGTAAGTCGGCGGAAGCTTCGACTGCCTCATCAGCGCCCGCACCTTCGTCATGAGGGTGCGATTCGTGCGCTCAGCTACGCCCTGCTGCTGGTGTGCGTAGGGGAGGGAAATATGGTGCTCGATTCCCTTCTGCGCGAGGTAATCCTGCAGCTCCTTGCTCCTGAACTCCGCCGCGCCGTCAGGCTGCCAGATGTTCAACTTCTCCCCAGATTGCCGCTGCGCGTGCGCCAGCCACAGGCGGAATGGTTCGTATGCTCTGCTGCGCGCTTCCACGTTTACGACCCATACGTAGCGCGTTCCCGCGTCGATGAAGGTGAGCGTGTACAGTTCATCGTTGATGCCGCAATGTCCCACATTGAGGAAGTCGTTGTACACCTTCTCCAGCTTGGTGTAGCGGTTGGTTCCGGGCTCTAGCAGGGGGAACAGCTGGTGACTCAACGCGGCTTCGAGGCAGACGGTGTAGTTGCGCGGATGTGTCGCGCCCCTTACTTTGGTACCATCGGGGTGCAGGAGTGCGCCAGGCGCAAACACGCCGGGGGGTGACCTAGGCGCTGGTGCCAGATGGCATCGTCGGCGCGGAATCCAGAGGTGCGCATGTAGCGCGCGTGTGCTTCTGTGGGATCCTCGTCGGGGGCTTGAGCAGGTGTCGCCGCTGCTTCTTCAACTTCTTCTTCTTCGCTCGCCGTCGTCAGCATTAGCGCAAGAAACTCCCTGTCGAGGATGGTGGAGAGGGGAATGTTTGTTCCAGGGATGGTTCCCGG